TGTGAAATTTACTCAGTGTAGAATATAAATGTCTCAACATAATAACTAAGAAAATGCCATGAAGGCTATGTTGACCAGTTTGATGAAAGCATTTCAAATTGTATGTAAAACCAGCACATTGTACCCCATGATTGCATTAATGTACACAGCTATGATTTAATAAAAAAAAAGATTAAACTATTTTTTTTCAAAAATAAAAGAACTGATCCTAAAATTTACATGGAATTTCAAGGGACCTTATGTAGAAAAGCAATGCTGAAAAAAAAAAGTTAGAAGATTCACCTCTCTATTCCAAAACTACTACAAAATTACAGTAATCAAGATAGTGCATTACCAGCATAAAAACACAAAAATGGATCAACAGAATAGAAATGAAAGCCCAAAGTAAATCCATACATTTAGGGATAATTGATTTCCACAGGGTATCAAGACAATTCAATAGAGAAAGAAATATTTGATCATGACACCAGGTATATATGTATCTAAACACCTCTACATACCTCATAGACATGTATAATTATTTGTGTCAATGTAAAAAAATAACTGAGTGACATTTAACAATGTTGGTTATACCAGTCCATGAGCATGAGATGTTTTTCAATTTGTTTTGTCATCATCAACCTCTTTCATCAGTGTTTTCTCATTCTCCTTATAAAGAACTTTCACTTCATTGGTTAATTATATTCCTAGGTACTTTATTTTTCTTTGCAGCTATTGTGAATGGTATTGAATCTTTTATTTGACTCTCATCTGGACTGGTATTAGTACACAGAAATGCTACTGATTTACCAATTCAATGCAATCCCCATCAAAATACCAATATTGTGTCTCACAGATATAGAAAAATTAATACTATACTTCATTTGGAACCAAAGAAGAGCCTGAATAGCAAAAGCAATCTTAAGCAAAGAGAACAAATCTGGACTCATCACATTACCAGACTTCAAATTATACTACAAGGCTACAGTAACCTTGGTACAGGTTACTGGGTAACATGGTACAGGTGTAAAAGTAGAGATATAAACCAATGGAATAGAACAAAAAAAAAAAAACAGAAATAAAACCATCTACCTACAACCAACTGAGCTTTGGCAAAGCAGGCAACACCACAGTAGGGAAATGAAGCTCTATTCAATGAATGGTGGTGGGAAAACTGGATAGCCATATCCAAAAATTAATTCAAGATGAATAAAAGACTTAAATGTAAGATATGAAGCTATAAAGATTCTAGAGGAAAACACAGGAAAAATTCTTCTAGACATTGGCTTAGGCAAAGAATTTATCACTAAGACCCCAAAGGCAAATATAGCAACAACAAAAATACATAAATGGAATTAAATTAAAAGGTTTCTACACAGAAGAGGAAATTGCCAACAGAGTAAAAAGACAACCTACAAAATGGGAGAAAATATTCACAAACTATGCATGCAACAAAGAGTTAATATCCAGAATCTACAAATTCAAACCAATCAACAAGATAAAAACAAACTCCATTAAAAAGTGGGCAAAAATTAGTCTTTCAAGAGAAAATAGACAAACGTATGAAAAAATGTTCAAAACACTGATCATCAGAGAAATGCAAATTAAAACTGCAAAGAGATATAACCTTACCCCTGTCAGATCGGCCATTATTAAAAAGTCAAAAAACAATAGATTCATGGATGCAGAGAGAAATGAACGATTGGTTAGACTGCAAATGAGTATGTTCTACTGTACCATAAAACGGGGAAAAATAACACCTTTTGCAGCAACTTAGATGGAACTAGAAACCATTATCTTTAGCAAAGTACCTCAGGAATAGAAAAACAAACACCACATGCATTCTCTAGTAATGGAAACTACTTGATGAGCACAAAGAGATGTAAAGGGTATTGGAACACAAGAAGTTGGCCTGGGGTAAAAACATATTGGGTACAATGAAAACGATTCAGGCAATGGGCACACTAGCAGCATCAATTTAAGCAATATAAAAGGTATCCATGTTATAAAATCAATGGTACCCCCTAGTAAAAAAAAAATTAAAAATAAATAAATGAGCAGAAAAACAGGGAAAGAATATCTTCTTAAACAAATGGACAACTAGGCTCGGCGCCTATAGCTCAACCGGCTAAGGCACCAGCCACATACACGTAAGGTGAGGGGTTCGAATCCCCAGCCCGGACCCGCCAAACAATAATGACGGCTGCAACCAAAACATAGCCGGGCGCTGTGGCGGGCACCTGTGGTCCCAGCTACTTGGGAGGCGAAGGCAGGAGACTCGCTTGAGCCCAGGAGTTGGAGGTTGCTGTGAGCTGTAATGCCAGGGCACTCTATCCAGGGGGACAGCTTGAGGCTCTGTCTCAAAAAAAAAAAAAAAAAAAACAAATGGACAACTAGATATCCACATACAAAGGATGAGGTAGGACCCTTTCTTACATGTACAAAGCTTAATGCAAAATTGATCAAAGACTGGTGTAAGAGCTAAAAATACGAAACTCTTAGAAAAGTCATAGGAGTAATCTTCATAACCTTAGATAAGAGAATGGATTCTTTCTTGTGACAGTAAAATCTCCAAAAACAAAAGGGAAATAAACAGATAAATAAGACTTCATCAAATTTTAAAAATTCTGTGCATCAAAACAAACTTTTGGGAAAGTGAAAAAACAGAATATCTGCAAATCATATGTTAGTTTAGATCTAGGACAATTACACAACACAACGATAACCTATTTCTAAAATGGATCAAGGACCTGAAAGGTATCTCTCCAAAGATTATCGACAAATGGGTAACAAACACATGCTGAAGCGGAAGAAGCGCAGGACCCGCAGTGTCCTGAGCCCAGGACCCTGCGCACTCCCTGCAGCCGCAGAAGGAGCATCTGCCGCGTCTCCATTCAGGGGATGGCAAGGATTGGGCTGGACAAGGCCCTGAGTTCTATCACACCCAACCGCCCACTGACCCTCCTGTCCCGGATCCCACACCGCAGTCCAGGGCACCCTGGAGCCTGCGGGAGACTTACTTTCCCCTGAGCACGTGAGCCCGGCATCCCGACTGTGCCCGCACTGGCTCCCGGGACCTCGCGGGCAGTGGAACAGCAGAGACTCATTGCCAGCACAGCGGAACGCCTCTGTCCACGCCAGCCCAGAGCCACGGCCAAAGTGGGCGCCCCCGGGCGTGGACACGGCCGCCCCACACCGCAGCTCTCGACACACCACGTGAGCTGTGGCCAGGTCCAGGTCTGCGTCGCATACGGTGCCCCAGGTCAGGCCCCGCTTCACCTCCAGGCGCCCGGAGCAGGGGTGCTCGCCACCGACCAATCGGGCCTCTGTGTGTCCTGGGGGCAGATGCTGGACTGGAGAGACCACAGCAGGACTGGCTCCCTACCAGCCTTTGAGTTGCAGGAGAGGATCCCTGCAAGAGGTCACAGGACTCCCTGGCCACCCCCAGCCCCTGGACTGGGGACGAGTTCCCTCCCACCACTCTGCATCTCTCTTGTATCCTGGCCCCCACAGATTCTGACAGCAAAGCTCAACCCAGTCCCTGCCCTCTGGGGAGATGAGGACCTCTACTTCTAGGGCTTGGGACCCCCATAGCTATGCCTCTGCACCCACCCCCACCCCCAGGCTTGGGCCTCACATCTGCCAAGCAACTCTAATCACCTGGTCATTTTAAAGCCCAGAACCTAGCTACACTTGGGGCCAATCCAATCAGAGCCCTGTGTCAGGAGCTGACACACTGGAGTCGGCCATCTCCTCAGATGACCCCAGGGATATCAGTGGTGGGAAGAAGGCCCTGGAGAGACTCCTAGTCCCTCTCCTTCCCCAGGATGGGGGTGCAGTCTGGGTGCATGGCAGCAGGTTGTTTGGCAGAAGTGGTGGGAAAGTCCTCTTCAGTCCCTAGACATATACTAAGTAGTCACCTCCCATCTTGGAGACCCCTGGGCAGGGGCATCCCTACCTGAGCATACCACCACTGCATCTGTTGGGAGTTCACACTGGTCTAGGAGGTTCAAGTTGAACCTGCAGTTCAAGATGGTGGACTCTGTTCCCTTGCAGGTCACAAATTTCAACTCTGGCCTTCCAGTCTTCCCTGTGAGGTGAGGTCTGGTGGCCTGGAGTGCTGGGCCACACCCCAGCCTTCTGCAGAAGACACTGGCTTCCTTCTGGTGCAAGCCACACCTAATCACAGGACCTTCGGCCACCTGGATCACAGGGGTCCCTGCACAGGGGCTTCCTCCGCCACTCAGCCCCACGGACCCCAGGCGCCCACCTGCATACAGAGGGTCAACACTGCTCCCACCTGGCTTCCTCTTGGGTAAGGCCCTCTCACTCCAAATACATGGGCTCGGTTGCTCTGAGGTAGTGGTCTTTGGTGGGAGGGGGTCAGGTGAGGGCAGAGGCCCTTCCTATGGGCCCCAGACTCTGAAGGAGGCAGCCAAAAGCTATATGCTGCCCACACTGGGCCCCTTCTCCCCACTGTGTCCAAGGGGGGCTCCATATGGGTGGCAGAACCAACTCCATACCCCCTGGCTTCTAGTGCTTCAGCCCATGGGGAGGGTCCCTCAAGTGGAGAATGTACAGGTGGAAAACTAGCCATCTGCTCTTTTCTGAAGGGCTATGCAGGCCCATTTCCCAGATCCCCAGGCCATGCCTGTGGTGGCCTCTGCACAGGGTACATCTGTCTGGTTCCAGAGCACATGCCTGGACCTACCACTCTATAGCCCTCAGGTACAATGAGGCCTTTCTTATGGCTCATACAAATACCCATCATCCATCTCTCAAATGCGCCACTTTGAGCCCCTGCTTTCCAACAATAATTTGATGCAAGGGGAATGGTGGGGTCCCAGCCAGAGCCTGGACAAGACAAGGGCACTGAAATCTGGGGGTAAACATGTAAGCTCAGGCTTCTGAGTAGACCCTGACCAGGGAGAACCCAGGGACAGAGTGGCCTAGAGGCCTGAGATGAGGGCCAGGAGGACACATCTTCCTCTATATCTCCCTGAGTGCTTCTGCTCATGCTGGCCCCTCAGGGAAGGAAGGCAAAACATTTCACTCCAGAAGGTCCTGTGGTCACCACTGGCCATAACACTTGATGGTCTCAAGGAGCCAGCTGAATGCAAAAGGCTGGGCTCTAGCCAAGGTCTGTGCCAGAGGTGGCCTGGACATATGCCGTGTTCCTCACATGGGCTTTGGAGGGGCCCCATGCTGGGTCATAGCCCTGGAGTTCATAGACACCCCAAGAGAGGCAGCACTATTCCTCCCCCAGAGGTAGAAGTCATGGTGGGGAAAGGGCTGCGGGCTGCAGGCTGGAGGCAGCAGCTCCGGCTATCCTACCTGAGCAGTGCACGGCCCCAATGCACTCACACGCACAGCCCCGCAGCGGCCCCCACACAGCCAGGGAACACTCCCAGAGTGAGGCCTCCATGCCTTGGCACCGCAAGCCCTGCAGCAAGGACTGCTGTGCCTCCTGGGGCCACACCACATAAGTGGGGGTAAGCAGGGCACGGCCACAGCCCAGCTGCCTGCAGATCACAGATGCCTCACCCAGGCCCCAGTGGTCCCCGCAAACAGGGCCCTGCTGGCCCAGGAGCTGCACCTGCAGGAGACCCTCACAGCGGTTTCCACCCCGCAGCAGGGCCAGGGACTGGCCCATGCTACCTGTCAAAGAAGAACACAGGAAGGGCCTCCGTGGAAAAGGTACCCTTGAGGACTTTCTGTCCAGAATCATCAACAATTAGAAATCTAACTTCCATCTTCCATCTCAATTTGTACCCATAATCTTGATTTTTCCCAGTTTTCTCACATTTTCTTTTAATGTTGTCAATGACATTAACAAGGTCAAATATCTTTAAAAATGAAGAAAATGTTAACAAAAATGGAGTAAGGTCCATTTTCTGTGGAAACTCAACAGAGTTAGACTTTCAGCCTTTCTCAAACGTGGGGCTGGCCCACAGAGAAACACCTCTGGTCATTCCACCTGCTAATGAGCCATGCAGAGGACACCCCAACCCTCGGGGGCCCAGCTGAGCCTCCCAGGATTTCTGCTAGGAAACCATTATTGAGAAGAAACTATTGTTGCGTCACCCCCCGATCACCTTCCCAAAACGTCCTACACACCTGGGGGCTCTGGCCCCCAGATCCCTATGGACAACAGCACATACTCACCAGGAGGGAGGGTCCAGCAGGCCATGAGTAGGGGCCACAGCCCCAGTGAGCACAGTGCCATGCCTAGTTGCATCATCTGCTGCCGTGGTGCCCCAGGCTGGCAGTCTTGGGGTATGCATGTGATTTCTGTCCCTGAGCAGGTAGACTCTGACTTGATGTGACACTTTCTGAGAAGGAAGCCTATTGGTGCCCTCAACGCCTCCCCTCACTCCTCCCTCACCTCTGTGCCTGAGGCCAAACAGCACCAGCAGTGGGTGTGTGGTGAGGCCGGCTGAGCTTCCTGCAGCTGGTGCCTGACACGGCCCCAGATGTGACAGAGACCAACCAGGAGCCCATTCTCAGCAAGGCCCTGATGGCCATAGTGCTGAGACCAGGGTTGGCAGGAAAATGATGGACTTTTCTGTCTCACACAAAAGGTATGGCTGAGGACCTAAGGCCTTTCCATGCTCTGTGTGAACAGAGAGACTAGCAATCTAATCAAAATCCTGAAAAACTGGCATTCCCTGGGACTAGTATTTACAAAGGGTGCACACCTCCCTGTGAGCCAAATGCAGCAAGAGGGTTAAACTGAGGAGGGTACACATCTGGGCCAATGTGTCAGCTACATATTTCCATATTTCCATATTTTATGTGGAAAATACACAGAACACAGAATGCATATTATGAGACATTATTGTATGTCACACTAATGTCTGGACATTTGTGCAAAACAAAGTTCCCAATGGGTATAAGCTAAGATGGTGAAGTGTTTATTTCTGAGGAATAGAAAGATAGGTAGGTGTCCATTTTCCTTCTTGGTTCTATGAGTTTTTGAATTTACAATAATACATGTGTATTTTTTGGAAGCAGCAAAATTTAATCAAGGTTAATTTCCAGTAGATTTGCCAAAGAACCAGTTTAAGAGAGAGCAGCTCAGATTTTCAGATCTCTATGTATGAGAAAAGGAATATTCAAAGGAAATGAGTCTCCAGAGAAAACCAAAGAGCTACACACAGGGCAGTCTGTGCAGTACCACTACTCCTGGCACACTTCAGCCCACCTAGAGGCAATGGGACCCCCCTGCACACTGACCTGCAAGGCACCTAAGTAGCCTCCAAATGAGGTAAGGACTAAAGCAGACTTGGCACACAGCCCTGGGGTGCCCCAGGCATGGCAGGAGACTTACAGGGAGCTGGTAGATACAAATCAGAAGCCCTCACCTCAGAGTTGGGAAACCTGCCAAAGCCCCTGCAGTTCTGCCTGCAAAAGCAAGGCCCTTGTGACTATGATCACTGTAGGAAATTGTACCCACTGCTGTAGTCAGACACAGTGGAATAAATGGGATAATCTGGGCTAGCACAAGGGGTGGAGACCACAGGTCACACTGATCTCTGGAGTTCGGAGTTCCCTTCCTCTGATGACAGTGCTGATACCCTCACTCTACACCCCCAGGGTCCTCTGGGTCTACACCTCATGCTCAGACCCCATCCACTTCCTGCCATGTCATTTGTCTTATACCTGGGAATGCCCCCTGCATACACCTTATCAGACCTAGCCCTCCCACTCTTGCTCAGGGCCCCATCCATACCCTCCACCCTCACCTGGGCCCAAGAGACACCCCTTGCACAGAGTCCAGTCAGGCTGGCCAACTCCTGAGGCCAGAGAGCTAAGTGTGCTCCTCCATACCCCCCAAGCCTCTGTTGGTAGCTACTCCAACTATACCCCCAGAACCTGGCCACATGTCCCCAGCACTGTAGTTCTCTGCAGAGGCCCTGTCCAGCCTCTCTAGACATTGCCCTGTCACCGCATGGGGCTTCTTGTCCAAGGGAGGAGCCTCCAGTCCATCTCTATGCACAGGGCTTGAACAGAGCAGGGCTCCCTTACAACCCAGGGCATGGACAGGAGAAGGGTTGGAGGATACTGAGAGTAGAGATTGGGTCCACATCGCTCATAAGGCCAGCATCAGTGACAGCCAAAGCAGGCTTGGCACATGGCATGGCAAACCTGGAGGGAGGTCAGAGGATGGTATCACTGGACAGACCTGATAGAGGAGGGACAGGTGAATGGTTAAACTTGATTTTTACCAGGTTACTGACATCAGAAGGGACATCAGGACAGGCCTGGGAGAGTCCTGGGTGGGGACCTGAATGGCCAGTGAGAGAGAGGGTGGTGGGGATATGCCACCAGAGCAGCCAGAAACAACACAGATTCCAGTGTCAACCCTCCAGCTGACCAACAAACCCACCACTCCCACTAATAACATTTTCTGTACATATAAAGAACATGTTCTCAGATTGGGACATTAAAGAGTGGCCAGCAGGACCCCTCAGAATAGATGGGCAGGGTCAAGAAAAAGGAATAGTTCAGGAGGCTGCCTGATAGGAAGATCCCCAAACTCTGCTTCCACCCTACAGCTCACCAAACCTGAGCACAAGGAAGGGCTGAAAGCACACAAAGCCCCCCCCCCCAAGACACTGAGGACACCGTGAGGGTCATTCTCCAATGGGAGGTACATAATGGTGAGGGGCCAGAAAAGAACCTGGGCCATGGTGGCTTCTGATCAATGTTCCTGGGGTAAAATAAGGACCAGCGAGTGAGTTCAAAGGGAGTTTAATAACAGCTGTGTGAATGATGAGGACAATGAGACCCCAGCCTCCCTGGTATATCCCACTCTCCCCACACAAGGTCAGCTCAGGATCATCATGTCCTGGGGCAGGGCCCACTGTGGTCTTCCATTCCAGCCTGAGCTTCAGGGCCCCACTGGCAAGGGGCCCAACCTGCATGTAAAGAGAGACACCAATGGGGTCTCAGCAATTTCTCAGAGCCCAGTTCTCAGCTCCTGGTTTCTCGCTGCTAAGCCAAGCCAAGCCAACCGCAGAGGGACAAGGGTGGGCACGTGGCACAGTGAGAGTGAGGTTGCTTCTCACTCTCCAGTCCTCCCCACACTGTCTGCTCAGGCCCCTCCCTCGCAGCCAGCGGGACCGAGGTGCTAGGCGGACACTGCACACCTAAAGAAACCCAAATAAAGGACCTGCCACCCCAGACTCCACGTCGACCCAGGGGAGACTCCAGCCCAAGAAGCAGCTGTGAGGAGACAGTGGATATCCCCCCCCCACGCTGCGGGGCTGAGACGGGAGTGAGAGTCACCACACAGGAGAAGCAGCTCTCAGGGCTTTAAATGTAGGCGCTGGGCAGAGCAGAGCCCCCCGCGCAGGCGCAGTACAGCAGCCACAGCACAGAGGACGCCAGGGCGCACAGGTGCACACCCGCCCAGCTCAGCGGCACCCCGGCTGCCTCCTCCCCGGGGCGGTCCTCGTCCTCGGGCTCAGGCTCTGGCTCTCCCGCGTCGTCATACTCCTCCTCCGGGACCCGGTCTGTGGGTGCTGCAGGCCCCTCAGCCTTCTCCCCCAGGGGCATGGCTCCAATGTCCTCATAGACGCCCTCCCAGGATGGGTGCCCGGACATTCTACAACCTGCAAAGCCCACACCAGACCTCCTAGAACAAATGCTCCTGCAATCTAAGCCCACTCTGCCGGGCCCATCTGCTCTCTCGGAAGTGCCAAAAGCCCCAACTCTTGTGCCAACAGACCCCGCAGAGAACAAAGACCCCTGAACTGGGACACAGCTTCCCACAGCACCAGGAGCCTCAAACCCTGGGCTGGGGCTTGTTGGCCACCACCTTTGAACGCACCAGGGAGAGCCATCCACTGTACATCCCTCACAGGGATCAGAGGACACTTAAACCTGTTCTCAGAGCAGGCAGCCCTGGAAGTGTGCATTTTCTTCATTGTGCCCATCCTGGGAGCAAAGCAAGACTGAGATCCAGGGTCCTCGGGTCCCCAACAGCTCGTGGCTCCACAGAGAGTTACTGAGCACTCACCATGGGCAGTGATGAGGACAGGCAGGGCCTGTGATGGCCGGGGTCACACAGAACATCCTCCCCTCATCTGCCCACAGCCTCCCATCCCAGGCCCGTGCTGACCACACCTAGGCACAGCCACCTACCCTGGCAGGCTGCTCTGTGGCGGCACCACTGAGTCCCCAGGAACAGGGAGACCAGGCCCAGGAGGACACCAAGGACGAGGCAGGCTGTCTCCAGCAGGGCCCAGGCCTCAGGGGCAGGTGGAGGGGCCAAGGGAGGGGCTGTGGGAGGCACACAGTGAGAGGCAGGGCTGCCTGTGTCCCTGGGCTGCCTGGGGCATTGTGACCCTGGGTCTGAGGCCCTCAGCCTCCCAGGGAGGGGTGGGGCACTCAGGGAAACTGGCCTCTGGGCTGCCTCGACAGGCTGCTCATCTCCCAGAGAGAGGGATCAATCGGGCCAGGTGGAGGGCCCAGGTGCGACAATCCAGGTGTGTAGCCCCAGGCAGTAGGCACAGGAGAAAGGCGCAAGTGGAGAGCTCAGGGCAGAAACTCCAAGTATCTGGGCCCAGGGAGAGGGCACAGGAGGGTACCCAGGGCACAACTGTCAGTGGCCCCATTGACAGCTCTTATTGTCCTGACTGCCCACTGAACTCATCTGCCCTTTGGATACAGAGCTACAGTGTCCAAGGGGCCACAGCTTACCAGGGCCAACTCCCACCCTCAACCACCAAGGGTAAGACCCCACAGAAGTGGCTATGTGGGACCTAAGGCCCCTGTCCACAACACAGATGGGAGAACAGGGAAGGAAGGAGAGTGGTTTTCATCAGAGAAGAAAGTGTCCTCCTCACAATGGGCAGAGCTGAGCTGGGCCCCTCTGGGCCACGGCCACAAAGGAGGTGTGGAACTTGAGAAAGAGCCACCTACCCCTTGGTGGCAGCACTGTGGCCCCCAGGTCACCTACAGGTAAATGCAGGACCTAAGTGCCAGGCAGCAGAGGCCTCCTCTGCCCTGAGCAGTTCAGACCTTCACCTGGGTGTTCAAAGCAGCTACAGGGCTCCACTCGGCCTGAGCCCACATGACTGGCTGAGGCATCCTTGCCAGGGTCACTACACAGAACACCACCAGAAAAAGACTTGGGCCACTCTCTTTCCTTCCCTATTCCCTTGGGTGGGGAATCTGTGTTGGGGATGGGGCCTTAAGTCCCACATAGCCACTTCTGTGGGGTCATATCCTAGGTAGCTAGGGTGGGGATTGGCCCTGGTAACCTGCAGCCCCTTGAACACTGTAATTGTGTATTCATAGCATGGCTGAGGGCAGTGGGCAGTCAGGAGGGGATACCAATAACTCAAAGGGACTGTAGCGGCACCCTATAACTCCACTCACCTGAGCAGCGTACAGCCGCATCCTCCTTGTGCGTGCAGTCTCCATGTCCCCACCGCTCAGCCTGGCACTCACTCAGGGACACCTCGCTGCCCCGGCACCCCACCTCATCCAACCACACGGGCCCTGAGCCAGGGCCAAAGGCGGCCCCCCACAGCGCATTCTCAGCCCGACCACAGCCCAACTGCCGGCACACGACTTCCGCATCCGCCAGGTCCCAGGAGTCGTCGCACACCGAGCCCCAGGAGTCCGCATGCCAAAGCTCCACGCGCCCAGAGCAGTTGTCCGAGCCCCCACGCACACGCAGCGCGCCCTCCTCTGGAGAAGGGGGCTACAGTCACTGCCAGCGCCGGACCAGGATGGGGACAGTGACAGGGAGAAGGCAGGGGGCTACCTGGGCAGCTGAGTGTGGATGAGCAGTTCAGGCTCTCTCCAAGGTCCTGCGGAACTCCTGCCTTTTCTGTTTACAAAAGTAGGACCCATTCTTTATTTGCAAGCCCTGCGACTTACAGTTTCTCAAATGTTTTTCTTTTCTTTTCCTTCCTTCCTTCCTTCCTTATTCATTCATTTCTTCCTTCCTTCCTTCCTTCCTTTCTTTCTTTCTCCCAAAAAGAGGATTTCTGTTTGCTAAAGAAGAACGCTCTCTGTTTAAGCAAGGGACGCCCACACTGGCTAAGCAACCCCCCAGGACTACTCCTGCTACCTACAGGAGGTGAGGGGGGGACGTCTTGCTTCCCCACTGCGGGAGAGCTACGGGTCTGAGGCGATTGCGGTTGATTCCCCACTCAGCTCAGAGCCTCAGGGCAGGGACGGGACCACCACCACCTATGGCAAAGGGAAGGCTGATGCTTCCTCCCTCTGGAAAAGGGCCCTGCAGCCAGCCAGGTGGGAGGACCTTCAGCTAGCCCCCACCCGCACACACAGGCCCCGCTCACCTGCACACAGGACCCACGCTTCCTCTCCGCTAGAGCAGGAATCCGGGTCCCAGGGGGCTGATGGGCACTGCCACAGGGACCGATCGTGCCTGTCCCTGCACTGAATGGAGGCCAGCCAGCGAGCCTCGGGGCCAGGCCAGCTCCCTGCCCCAGCCAGCAGCTGGCCTTGGGGCCCACAGCCCAGATGCTCACACAGGACCCCCAGGGAGGCTGCATTCAGAGTCTGGCAGACCCCACCCCAGGTCCCATTGTAGAAAACTTCCAGCCGCCCTGCACACGGTCCACTGTGGTTCTGTAGCCTCACATCCGTGAACTCTGCGGACAGAGAGGGCAGTCAGCAAGCCCAGCTCTTGGTGTGGGTGGGGACCACAGGGTGGACGGGCCGCTCTGACCTGAACAGAAGACCCCAGCATCCTCCTTGTGCCCGCAGTCGTGCTGGCCCCAGGCCCCCGACGGGCACTGCCACAGCGCAGACTCTTGGCCCTGACAGCCCAGTTCATCCAGCCAGATGAGCCCCGCTCCGGCCCCGAAATGGGCCGCCCCCGGGGCGCTGAGGGCGCGGCCACAGCCCAGCTGCCTGCAGACCACGTGCGCATCCTGCAGGTCCCAGGCGTCGTCACACACGGTGCCCCATGCTCCCCCGTGGAACACCTCCACGCGTCCAGCACAGCGGCCCGGCCCCGCGGCTAGCCGCACCCGGAGGCTCCCTGCAGAGAGACCGAATCAGGGCTCCCGGGTCAGGGGGCCGTGGGGAGGGAGAGGGGGCCGGCGGGGATGGGACCTGAGGTTCCACACTCACCAGAACACACAACGCCCACGTCCTTCGAAGTCCCTGCCGTCTCCCACAGGGACACAGACAGGTTGCACTGGCCCAGGCGGGTTTCGTTGCCCAGACAGTGCACGCGGCTTAGCCCCACCGGGACAGCCCGGTGGCCAGGAGCCTGTGCGTCGTAGGCTAGCTCTGCCCCTCCACACCCAAGCTGCCTGCACACGACGCGTGCGCCACGTACATCCCATGCATCATCCAGGACTCGGCCCCATGTGCCATTCAGGGAGGCCTCCACGCGCCCATCACAGTGGCTCTGACCATCTCTCAGCCTCAGGGCATGGGGAAGACCTGCTGAGGGATACACGCTGGGGCCACAGGGCATCAGGGGACTGACCACCACCCCAGGAAGAACCCATCCAGTCTCAACTCACCCTTTGCCTCACAGCCTTGAGGCTGCACCCACCTGAACAGACTGCGGAAGCCGAGTTTCCTGGGGCACAGGCAGGGGCCCCCAGGGTGCTTGCTGTGCAGTTGAACAAATGGGGCTCTGTCCCCTCACAGTGAAAGGCGTCAGGCCAGATGGGAGCATCCCCATCCCCAAAATGGCCTCCTCGCAGCGTGGCCACAGCATGGCCACACTTGAGCTGGTGGCAGAGCACGGTGGCATCGCCCAAGTCCCAGTGGGCAGCACAGAGGGGTGCCCAGGCCCCCTCCACCTGGAGTTCCACGCGGCCCTCACAGCTGCTGCTGCCGTTCACCAGTCGAAACTCTGGGGGAGAAGATGCAGGCAGTGTGGCTCCCAGACCCTCAGACGTGCTGTGCTTGTCCTTGATGCCAAACACAGTTCACACCCCAGCCTTGGGAGGGTCAGAAACCGGCAAGAAAACAACACCACCCAGTGATGTCACCAAAATTGGGCTCGGGAGCACCAACATTCATCCCTCCACTAAAGCATTGGGAAAACCCTCTCAATCAACTTTGTCAGTTTTCTGGAACGTGAGCAAACACAACAGGGGCTCTAATGGAAAGAAGTTGCCAAATATGGGCCCCACACAAGCAGGCAGTGCATGCCAACACAGAGTTTACACACCTGGCTAAGCGATGGGGGAGGGACCCAACACAGAACTGATGCACAAAGCCTGGGAAAGTAATACTCTCCTCTAGTCAGTAAGAGCCATCTCTGTCAGAATGCTTGCTGACCAGTATGCTAACTGAGCAGAGACTCCTAAGGCCACAGGACAAAGAACCGTCTTTCCACAAAAGAGTTTAGTGAAGCTGCTGAACAATTAAGTACAGCAACTACAAGCCTTGATGGGGGAATCCTGATTTCCAAAGTTGCTACATTATAATGTTCAAATTTTCCAGTTTTATGTTTAAAAATATGAAGCAAACACCAAACCCAAAAAAGTATGGCTATTCACAGAGCGGAAAAACAATCAAAACCAGCCTCGAGGGAGCCCACTTGTCTGACTTACTAGATGAAAGCATCAAGTCAGCTGTCTCAAACATGCTCAGAGAACTAAAGGAAACCATGGTCAGTGAACTAATGGATGCCAGGACAACCATATCTCACCAGATACAATATCAATAAAAAGACAAGAATTTCAAAATTAAAGAGCCAAAAGAAGCTCTGGAGCTAAAAAGCACAATATCTGACGCTGAAATTTTTCTCAAGGGGTTCAAAAAAGGAACAATCAAGGAACTTGAAAATAAGTCAATCAAGATTATCCAGCCTGAGGAACAGAAGGAAAAAATAAAGAAAAATTAATAGAGCCTCAGATTTGTAGAACACCATCAAGCGTACCAAGTCCTGAAGGCAGAGGAGAGAAGGGGGTAGAGAGAATATTTGAAGAAATAATGCCAAAACTCCCCAAATTTGATTCAATGCTCAAATCTCAGATTTGATTCAATACCTGATTCAAAATATCCTTTGCCAGTGTTCTGGAATGTCTTTAACAGAGAGAAACACAGAGGAGAGGAGGTTGCTGAATGTTTGTTCAAGAAGCAAGGAGTGATCCCAGAAAGAGCTGCATGTGCTCCCCCCAGCTCCCACTTCCCTTAGCCAGCCAGAGCTCTGGGAAGGAGAACAATCTCTCAGGCCTCACTCCCCTAGAACTCACGCGCTAATGTACCTGGTTCTTAACGTGGAATTGAGATGGAAAGCTTGACTGTGAGAACCTGATCTGATTCAGTTCATGGAGACAATCATATTGAAATGCGTTATAATCACTAGGTATACAGTTATATTCAAAGGAAATTAAATGAGTATATTGAAGAGTCATCACCACTCATGTTTACTGAAGAGCTATTCACCATGGCCAGTGCAACCTAATTATACTTCAAGGTATGAACAGGTAAAGAAAATGTTACACACACACATATATATATGTACATATATATAGTATCTAATATAATTCACTCACACACATATATACATATATATAGTATCTAATATAATTTTATTTAGCCTTAAAAAGAAACAGAAATCGTATAATTAGGAACAACATGGATAAACTTAACATTATGTTAAGTGAAATAAGCCAGGCACAGAAATGCAAATACTCCATGATTTCACATATATTGAATCAAAAAAAGTCAATCGAATTCATAGAAGGAGAAAGTAGAATGATGGTTACCAGGTGCTTCCTGGGGTGGGTGGTGGAGGGGCTGGACAGGGATTGGAGGGATGTTGTTCAAAAGATAGAAAATCTTGGTCAGACAAGAGGAATAAGTTCAAGAAATCTATTATACAATATGGTGACTATAGTTAATAATAACATATTGCATTCTTGAAAAGTGCTAAGGGAGTAGATTTTAATCATTCTCATTACAAATAAATATGTGAAGTAATGTTTGATTACAAGCATTTGATTATCCATTCCGTAATGTATATAAATATCAAAACATGACATCCTATATCTTAAATATATACAATTTTTGTCAATTTAAAAATAAATAATAAAAATATGAAATTAAAACTGTTGCTAAGGCTCAGCACCTATAGCTCAACCGGCTAAGGCACCAGCCACGTACACCTAAGGTGGCGGGTTCAAATCCCCAGCCCGGACCCGCCAAACAACAATG